TTAGTAGAAGCACTTGAAATCCAGCTTTAAAATCATGACATTCACGGCGACGCGGCGGAGGAGGGGAAAGGAGACAAGGTTGGCAACATCCATTGGCAACATTCATCATAAACAAACCCGTCTAACTCAACAATACGGAAAGCTTAGCCGAAAATTCTACAACAGCTGATAAAACAACTACTTTGCTTTCCAACAATGTAGTCCTTTCAAAATTTGAAAGTTTCCCTTTGCAGAAATTTCACTTCAAACCACAGCCTCCATACAAAATTTACGATATGACTGGGCGCGAGGTAAACAAGGTTCACGGACGGTAAATTTTAAATTTAAATCTCGCGCCTAATTGGATAAAGCGGTATGACCTTGCGAGACGTCACTTGATTGAATTACACTTATCCAATTAGGCGCGAGATTTAAATTTAAAATTTACCGTCCGTGAACCTTGTTTACCTCGCGCCCAGTCATATCGTAAATTTTGTATGGAGGCTGTGGTTTGAAGTGAAATTTCTGCAAAGGGAAACTTTCAAATTTTGAAAAGACTACATTGTTGGAAAGCAAGATAGTTGTTTTATCAGCTGTTGTAGAATTTTCGACTGAGCTTTCCGTATTGTTGAGTTGGACGGGTTTGTTTATGATGATACGTGCAGCTTGGCCAATGGATGTTGCCAACCTTGTCTCCTTTCCACTCCTCCGCCGCGTCGCCGTGAATGTCATGATTTTAAAGCTGGATTTCAAGTGCTTCTACTAAAGGTATAAACTATTTATTTATGTTGATGCATGCTATGTACCTAAGTATATTTCCTTCAACGATAAGCATTGATTAGTGATACATTTTAGTGTAAAAATTCGGAATATTTTTAAGCTGATCGTTAACATTATTACTTTGAAATCGATACCGCAGGGGGTAATTAAGTATGCCAAGCATTTAAATTTAAATCGCACAGTGTGTCTGGGCTACCTATGGTTAAGCCGTATATTTAGCAATAGGTGGCTTTGAAGCAACCCACGAGACTTTAACAGTTAACACAAAAGCAGATGGATATAGCAATAAACGAGATTCTAATGAGATTCAGTTGTGTCAGTGTAAATCGACCCTTCATGACCATGTGCACTGAACTCATGTAATCATAATGAAAGTCACCCAGCTGTTGTCTTGAAGAATCAGCTACACGAACAGCTATCTACACCAAGCTACCAACAGAAAATCAATTCAAAACCCGATACACCAATCACAAAGTTTCATTTCACCTGAACTAACACAAAGGAAAGCTTGATTTAAATTAACAACCTTGACAGCAAAACTATATCTGAATTAAGCAAATACATCTGGGATACATGCGGGTTCCAAGTACTGTCCCCCTTCCCAGTGCCAGTGCAGAAAAATTTGAAATGTTTGTTGATTTTCGTTGTCCAATCAGGGTTGAGTGTATTTTGAGTTGTTCAACGACTTCCGCTTTTTGTCCAGCAAACCCGGCACGCGGATATATTTTGGGCGAATTTTGTTATTCCCTCACGGATTTTAGAGCGAATTTAAGCTCTTTGATTAAAGCATCGTTGTTTTGAGAGTTATACGGTATCATTCTTGCAGGGGATATCGACTAATCGTGAAAGAAATGCATTAAAGGCGAAAAATCGAGGATAGTTTCGTGTGACATATGCCAGTCTGGGCTATTTTGGTCTCAATGTTTCCTTCCTTCCCTCGTTATAAGGAAGGCACAGGCGGGCGCGGGCAAATCGAGCCTGGGCCTCTTGTGGAGAAATGTGCGTCTGTACAACCGCATGTTGTGATAACGGAATACGATTGCACAAGATGTCGATTTTCTGTCAAACACATTTCCCGCCAAACATATAGACTTCAATTGCGTTTTACTAAATAACCTGTTTAATTTTAAAGATACTGATTTACATTTTTTTTCCAGACGACAGGTATGCTCAAGAGCAACAAGAACATGAAAAGAAAAAAAAAAATCAAAATTTTTACGTTCTAGGGTATCCTGTAACCTTAAGTGAATACATCTATCAGCCGGAAAATTTTAAAATGAGCTACATTAGTAAATGTTATAGTAATGCATCCAAGAGATGCAACTGTCTTAAGGCGGATTTCCAGTCCTCGCACGAAGCTCCTCGCAGCTCGCTGCGAGTGATGTATGAGCACTTTCATCCAATCACAATGCTAAACAGTTAAATTTAATTAGATGCAAGCACTCGCAGCGAGGAGCTTCGTGCGAGGACTGGAAAACCGCCTTTATGCACTGGCGTAGTCATGCAGTCCGACGATTCAGTGCCGCTATGCAAATATTGCCATGTTTATAAACTATCAACACAAATCAATTTCCAAAGAAATGAATAATGAGTTGAAATTTGCATAGCGAGAGCGAATCGTCGGGCTGGCTATGCCAGTGTCTTATGTCTCTGAGGGCCTGTTCATACGAGCCCGGTTAACCGAGCTGGCCCGCTTTGCTTTCACATGAGGCGGGCTAGCCCGGCAATCATATCTATTCATAGTAACGATTTCCTGCGTATTTTAGCGGGAAAATAAATTTTATTTTTGTCGACGGCAACAGCTTCAGGAGGTTTAATTTCGATAAATTCCTATAGTTTTGGACATTTTAGACTGTTTATCAGTGGAATAAAGCACACAAATTTCCAGCCCGGCTTGCCGGGCTAGCCCGGTTGTGCATTCATATGAGCCCGGCAAGCCGGGATCTCGCCTCGCTCAAGCGAGATCCCGGCAAACCGGGCTGGCCCGCTTCTCATATGAACCCAATCCTAAATTAATATACAAACAATATGCGAGGCGGGATCTCGGCACTTGAAAACCAGCCCGGCTAGCCGGGCCAGCCCGGCAGAGCAGCGCTCATATGAACAGCCCCTTAGAGAGGGAAATATGCTAAGTCCAGCCTAGACCTAGGTCTTTACTCGGCTGGCTTTGGCAGGTATCTTTGGCAGGTTTGGTAAATTTTGAGCTAGCATTTGGCAATTATCGCAATGGCCATTTCTAGTCCCAGTCTTCTCATGTGAAAAAGCGCTGAATATTAAAAAAATAATAAAAATAGAAGGCCTAGATCTGGGCTAAATCTAAGTACAGAGCCAAGCCCATGGGCTCAAGCTCGGACTTGAGCTGAAAATTAAAATAAAAACAAGACGCTCCACGCAGCGTTAAGCCGTTAATTTAAGTGGCTGGGACAATGGAAACATGCAACTTTACCGTTACAAGTAACCACTAATGCCTGGTTCACACTGGTCGTAAGAATCGGGGATTTCCATTGTCTGTGGTCGTTGGTGTGTAAAATGCTTTGTCTGTTGGAAAAGAATACAATAGATCGCCGATACATTACGACCAGTGTGAACCAGGCTTAAAGTTGAAGGTGGATGGGGGGTCTGAGAATCAGTAAACAGTAAAAATTTTGGTATTTTAACGGTAACTCTTTGAAGTGTTCTGAAACGACAAACAGTACTTTTTACCTCACGCTTCACGGCTGACGGTAACCGAAATTGAGTGCCATCACAAGTCACGATATACCCCCATCAACACCCTCTTACTAAGAAGAGCGCGTTTGCTTTTTCGAAAATAATGATTCTTGAAGTTTGCACTTTGCCTGGCAAGTCGCTCGCAGCCTATTTGCTTGGCAGTTGCGCTAATAGTTCAAATCTCTCAAATGAGTTTGTTATTTGCGCGACAATAATAAACTAAGAAGCATAGATCATATAAGCCTCCTTACATCACACAAGAAATTATTCACGCCTTGAATACGAAGAAAACGCTGAGGAAAAGAGCCAAGTCTACCAACTCGCCTCATATTTGGGAACGGTTTCGAGAGCTACGACGTAGTATCAAAAGCTTGATAAGATCTAAGAAGCGTGAATACATTTCCACCCTAGCAAGCTCAGTTAAAGATAAACCCAAGGATTTCTGGAGATTCTTTAAAGCTAAGACGACCGGCTCTTCTCTTCCTGACACTATGACTCACAACGACCAACAAGTCACAACTGCAGAAGGGAAAGCCGATGCTTTCAACAAATACTTCGCCTCCATTTTTCGTCCCGTTTCGCCAAGTTCTCCAATTGTTTCTCCGTCTCTTTCCAGCCAGAATAATCTCGAGTCTATTACTGTATCAACAGAAGAAGTTAGTTATCTTCTATTAAACCTCTTGACGGACAAAGCCACTGGACCTGATGGAATATCTGCCAGATTGTTGAAAGAATGTTCGAACGAAATTGCTCCGTCTTTAACAGCGCTATTCAACAAGTCCCTGTCTTTCGGTAAAGTTCCTCAAGAATGGAAAGAAGCTAACGTAGTTCCGGTTCCTAAGAAAGGTGACATTCATGAAATCAGCAATTACCGACCGATTTCCTTGCTGTAGTTAGTCTCCAAACTTTTGGAACAAGTCGTTCATATTCACGTGTCTGAGTTTGTTCAATCCTCGCTAAGTGACTTACAACATGGTTTTCGCAGAAAACGATCTTGTACCACTCAACTTCTTCGCGTTTTTCACGACGTTGGCATGGCTTTAGATTCCGGAAAAGAAGCTGACATGATTTATTTAGACTTCTCGAAAGCCTTCGACTCCGTTTCCCATCCAAAGCTTCTTTTTAAACTCGAACAACACGGCATTTCGGGTACATTGTTGAAGTGGTTCACGGATTACTTGAATGAAAGGCGACGAGTGGTAGTTGACGGAATATCATCCTCCTTTCTTTACGCAACGTCAGGCGTTCCACAAGGGAGTATACTTGGACCTCTTCCATTCTTGATCTTTGCAAACGATCTTCCTAAGCACAGCACGGTTCCTATGTTTGCTGATGACAGTAAATGTTACCGTCAGATAACCCAGCCACGTGATAGAAATCTACTTCAATCCGATTCCCTCCATCATTGGTCATCCACATGGGATCTAAATTTTAATACCAAGAAATGTGCCGCTCTCCGATTTTCTCGGAGAAAAACGTCTGCTCCAACCCAAGGTTATGTCTTAAATCAAAAACCAATTAAGTTTGCCGCGACTCAGAATGATTTGGGTATCTTGGTTAGCAACGATTTGAAATGATCCTCTCATGTTATCAATATAGTCGCTAAAGCTAACAGAATGCTTGGGTTTCTACGACGAAATTGTTTCCACCTCACTGATGTGAACGCTCGTCGCCTTCTGTATCTGTCTCTGGTTCGTTCTCACTTGTCATTTGGATGTGAAATCCGGGCCCCTCAAGGACCTTCTGCTGATTTGCTTCGTCTCGAGGGTATTCAACGTCGAGCTACAAAATTCATTCTCAAAGATCATGAATCTTCCTATCCTGATCGTTTGAAAAAACTCAATCTAATTCCTCTATCTTATTGGCATGAAATTAAAGACATCATCTTCTTCTATAAATGCAAATCTGGACTGTACGAACTTGACACTAATCAATTCATTAACCAACCTCTTCATCACTCAACCCGTTCCAGTTCTGGCGATTTTCTTCGTCCAAATTTGTGTAAAACTTCTCTCTTTAGAGACTCGTACTTTAATAGAATTGTTTTTTTATGGAATAATCTACCTTCTGGTATAAAAGCGTCCTCTTCAGTTGCTATCCTTAAGACTAAACTATATATATATATTATATACCAATAAACTGAACACTGTCTTCGATATAGATAGACCTAGAACGTGGAAAACTATGTGTAGCAAGTGTCGTTCGTTGCAAACAAACTGTTGTTCGTAAATATGTAAGAATGTATAGTCATCGTTCATGATATATTGTGATTGTAATTTTATGTATTGTTATATGTTTAGTGTAATTTTTGTAAATTTTTTGGTGGGACTTAATAAAGAACAAATAGTTCTGTTGTCCTTTCCATCAATCGTGCGATTGTTAAGTTAATAAAAAAAAACTGAAACATCGTGATAAATTGCAATGGAATTTAAATTGGGCTGATACTGATCGTGTCTGTCAGTACCAAACATAGACGTTACATGATACATTTATGTTGTGTTATGTTCTAAAAGGCAGGGGCGTAGGAACCGGGCGGGGGCAAGGGGCCAAGCCCCCCCCCCCAGTTTTCAGAAGACACAAAAAGTGCCCTTTTTCCCTGTGGCAAAGTGCTCTTTGCAGTTTGCCTTCGTGAAAAATGTTGTTCAGATTGCAAAGCAACATCTGCGAGTCTTCGTGGTAACTTGAGTCGGTGGGGCAGTTAAACAACGAGAAATGACCAGCCTGCTTGGCGCGCACTCTTTGCCTGCTAATCGGGCCTTTCAGAACCGGAAATCGAGTTGGAGCACGATAAATGGCAAAATTTGCACGGTGCTCATTTGTAAAAACAACTACAAACTGCCGTTTCACAATTCACGTGTCTTAAAAAAGCAATTTCACGGAAAATTATACTCTAATAAAAATAATATAATAATAATAGGTTTATTAAGAGTATGTTTAATGCATGGTACAGTTTCTACGTTTTGAGTTATCTCACTTCTCTGCCTGGCAGTTATAACTTACAAGTTTGAGCGACGAGTACGTCCGACGACCTCCGAAGTTTAGATCGAAATGAACAGAGCAAAATCACAGTTCACGAAACAGACATCCTTAATTCTCATTTCACGGAGCATTTTTATCGACAATCACGCCTCACGGCTGTAGAACAAATCACATTTCACGACACTAAAATCAAGCATTTCACATTTCACACGAACAAATACTGACCATTCACGCCTCACGAAAATACACTTTCCCACCCTCATGTTAATGCTCAAATATACTTGTTTCTTCGCGTAGAAAAACCAAATCCACGAGAAACGTTTCCGAGCCGTCGCTGTCAATTTAGCAAAATTCCTGAATTTTCAGTGTTCCTCAAATTCCTGAATATTTTTTGGATAAAAATTGCTGTAGCCCTATATTCTGCCTACATGACGTAGTGTAGATTTGTGACTTGAGATCTGCGATCGGAGGAAAATTCGTGCCGACGTGTTTAAGATGATTCATCAGTAATTCCTCCGGAAATGAGAATTTGCTGAAACAGTCATGGGGGTGAAGTTTATGATATGCTCATAGTAAAAACAGAAAAAAAGTTGGGGTCACCGAGCTCGTTTCGAAGATATGACAAGTGCACTATACTGTGCAACCTTTAAAGTTTTCCCCCATATCACATGACATGGCGCCATCTTGGAAGTTACAGGAGTTACAGGAACAATCGCAACTGCTCAACCGTTTTTGAATTTGTTAGCAAGGATCCTACTAAAAATATCTATCTAGTGATTATATACAAGAAAACATGGTATTTTAGCGAATCAAAAACCATTGAGGTGCATTTGTCGTGACGCAAAGATGTTTTTTCCCCATCCTCGTACCCAGGCCGTGGCACCGAGAATAAGAGAAAATAGCCTGGGTACGAGGTTGTCTTTTCCCTTCTTCTCAGACATGTTTATATTTTGATCTATTTTGGGAAGCATGCGGGAAAAATGTAAAATATTATGACTTGTAGAAAAGATTTTTCTCTTTTTCCGTATAGGAAAACAAAAATATAAAATAAAAAAGTTGGGCATGCAACATGTGGTTTAGTGTTACTTGACCCTTACTTGCGCAGGAGTGACAGGACTGAGCCCTAGTCAGAGTTCTGGCATTTGTGAAGAGTATATATTTCTGAACCACGCCCAGTTAATTACAGAGTGTTTTTCTCTTTGCCCTTACTCTTTCTTTGTCACTTTACATTGCTATTAGATATGCGCAGTAAAAGTGTGCAATGCAAAACGGATGAATCACCTTGACACTAATTACTTATTTTATTACATTCAAAACTATAAAGTCTATATACACCAGAGGCATGCAGATGGAAGTTGGAACAATCGATTATAAACTTCACTGACACTGTCAGTGGCGTGCCGGGTACTATTTTTCTGGGG